CTGAAAATAGCAAAGCTGCTGAGTCACTGCAGCCGAGCTTGGACTAATCTTATTGCGCCCATTGGTCTCGTGTTAGCCGCTGAAAACCTCAAAATTTAGGGTCTAGGCTTTCGTGATTTCTCCGCCCTCGGTCGGCGGACTGAGCCGGAGGCTCTTAAGTGTAACCAGATTTGGTGACATCACTGCTGGCTGTAGGGGAGAGATTGATTGCTATTGTGATTCGCTTTCCGCTGCTCTAACCAAACTTCTTTAAGGGGAATGCTGATTTGTTGGCATATGCTTTATCAAATACCACAAGGTAGCAAACTGTCAAAATTTGAGAGAAGCCACTGTGCAACATCCTCAAAGCCTGAAGGCGGAAACTCAACGACGACAAGGCATCACCACATCCTTTGGAAGTTTTCCCTAGGAAAACACTCTGACCTTCAAGAATCTAGAACGACCGAACACGAAAAAGGCTCACCTACGACGAACACTCCCTCCCAAACGTCTGCACCACCGAAAGCAGAACCATCAGCATCCCCAACGTTAGGAATCTCCCATGTCTGTCCTCAGTCTGCGGCAGGAGATGTCTGCTGTTTTTGTGCGGGACTGGTATTAAGCAACTACCAGCAGAAGCCGAACAAGGCGGCGATTTCAAGATCATCAATGTGTAGAGCTTGGAGTTCAGGGTTGAGAGTTGAGAGTTCTGGCAGTTCGGCTTAAAGATGGGGGCCACAGGTTTGCGGAAGGTCTACATGTTTGACCAGCTTGAACGAGCAATGCCAGATAGCGAGAGTAGACGATAACTGAAATAGCAGTCCTTGGTCGCGCAAATCTGGTGACATGGGCCTGATGAGAGTAACTACCATGACAACACTGTGAAAATCCAACTAGCAGCTAGAAGTTTGCATGTAGGGCCTGCTTAAACACCTCCAGCTATCCAGAGCTCAGACGTCAGAGCATGGCAGGCTTCCAACACGTGATACCCGAAGAATGGTCCTTTATTCGCTGCAACAATCTATGAAGTAGATTAGGCAGCAAGTTCCATGCGGTGGTCCACTTAGAAGCGCGTGGGCATGTGCAGGGCTTGCGTGAGTCTTACAAGCAAGATTGCACCAGGCAGGGCTGCCATCCCTGTTGATCTTCTCATCCCACTGTCAGGACTGACTGTCATCATTGTTATGCTTACAGTGCTCTTGCCTCAAGTTTGCTGCAATAATATAACTTGGATCGCACAGGTACTGCAATGCATGTGTTCTTCTTTTCTTCGCACCTTGACTAGTCAAAGATTGGCTTGTCGAAGAGCTCACTAGCTGCTTTTGCACGTGCCACGTCATAGTACAAGTGCTGCAACGACTTCGCCTTTGCTGGCATGGTGCGAAATCCCGGTGAGAAGAAAACATGTGGGTCACGGGTCCATATGGGTAACTGATCGCTCTCTCACTGCATCATTTGTCCAACCCCGTCTTTGCGTCAGAGATTAGGTTCTTGTTTCATAATGGGTCATCTGCGGGCCACGAGTCATGGAGGATTTGGGGATAAATCAATGCGAAGGCCGGCCTGCCCAGCAAGAGTGGGGTCTATGCTGAAGTGCCAAACTTAGTTTGATCTGCTTGGTGCCCACCTCAGGATTCAGCATTCGGAGCATCCTGAACCCTCCACGTTTTTGTGGCTCATCCGCTCGGACTTGCTCGTTACACCATATGCGACTTAGGGGTCGAGTACTCAGCTGTTGCTGCGGCAAGTCCCTGTTTCAATGCCAGAGGAGAGAACCAGTAACGTTCCATGATATCGCAGAATCTGATGTTGCACGTCCACGCACTCTTATATATCCGGACATGTTCTCCCTGCGCAAGAAGCCGTAGACTCTGATGTCTCTTGATGTAACCATAGATCTGGCGCACATCGCAAAACCCGCATTTTCTGCACGTGCAAACTGCCCAACTACGCCAGCGCCGGAAGCCTCACCGTCTGAATTTCGGATCCGAAATCACCACGTTACACAACCCGGACCCCGGATGCGTTCACTTCAACTCAACAAGGCCAAAACATCCCAATCCAGTCAAGCCATTTGCTTTCTTGAACCTTTCAACCAACCTCCATGCCAAGCAGCTGTCAGATACTCCTGCAACAGGAACTGAACTTCGCCAATCTGCCTCATGTTGCCTGCCTCCACCCAAAGGTTGACGAGGATGTTCGTGCGCTCCTGCAACTGGGGAAGCGTTGGGATATTGAAGATGAAGGAGAGAGGCACAACAACCACGCATCTGTTGGATTGAGGCGTCACACACACAGACATAGTTGGTCGATGTCCATGCCAATTGAATCCTGCAGTTGTGGAGAGGGCCAAAAAGCACGCTCACCAGCGAGCATATGCTGTATGTCCCAGTTCTGTGTCACATAGCCCCCTGCGGAATGCGAAACGACGCCATGGTACGGCAGTGGGTTTACTGGGACCGTGCTGGTGATGAGTTTGGTCCTTTTCAAACTGGCAAGATGCGGGCCTCGTTTGCACACGGATATTTCCCGAGAGGAGATGTGCTTCTTCTTCACTGTCCGCGACCTTTTCCCAGGCTCTGCCCCCTTCAAGGATCTGGCACATGCTAGGCTTTGTGCAGATTTTGCAGGTGTGGGAGTTGATGCCGATCTCGGGCAAAATCGTTACTTTGGATGTTGAAGCCTCGGACTGCATGGATAATCTTCAGGTATGGCATGATAGCCGATCGTATGTGCACGGGAATACATACACAGGTGATTTTGGTCGCTGTCTCTTTCACTTCTTTCCGTGATGAGCTTGGAGGGGCGTCTGGGAGCCTCTGGCCAATCCGATGGTGTTTGGTGGCTTGGTTCATTTGACAGGTCGGTGTGATTGCCCAAAGTCTAGCAACACATGCTGCCCTGACGCTCTTTGGATGATGAGTGTTCTGACGATGCCGGAGGCCTGGTGGATGGCTGCTTGCCATGATTTCTAGCAGGGAGGTAAGAGGTAACTTCAGCAACACTGCTAACCACAATTTCTGCCAGCTGCGGCCATGAGGGCCAACAACGGCAAGCTGTTATGAGACATGTGCCTGTAGCAGTTTCTGCAAGAAGTGCCCGCATGGCTGCCGTGATCCGCATCGAGGGCAACTTTCACATGGAGCTGGCAGATTTCCAAGCTAAGAGTAAGCGTCGCTGGGATGTTACCTTTTTGAGTTCGCTCGGGAGACGGCTTTGGGGGCGCTTTGGGATTTCCTGCCGGTTTGATTTTCCAATCGTGAAGGCAGCAGTGTCTTGACATGTTTGCTTAGTTGAGTTGGACAGTAGTTTGCTTCGTGTTCTTAGGCTTCTGTATTGTCCTTGTTCCTTGTCGCTCTCGGGGTCTTTCATGGAGTTATCAGGGCCAACACGGGTCCTTTAACCTAGGGCCCTCTGCGCTGTTGTAGTATACCGGCAAATTGTGCTGGACCCATATATGCTGGAAGGCCTGATGGGAATTCCAGTCATTTCCAAGGCCCATCGCTTCTTTCAGGCGGCGCAATGAAAGAATTCAATACAGCAAACTTCATTGGACACTGAATCACAGTAAGGTAAAAAAGGAGAAAAGGAGCTGTGGATCTTGGAAAAAGTCCGATTATGGGCTTGGGGACCAAGATGGAAACTGATCAGCAATCACCACGCCATCAAAGGCTAAAAGGGTGCAGTCGGTTTGAAGTTTTAGTCTTAGTAATACTCGGCTGATGTCGGGCTATTAGAGGCACAGCAACTGACGTCATCCACCTGACCTAAATTGATTTCAGGATCGTTGAGAGGTTGGCTGGCCAGATCAGGGGTGTTGTGACAAACAATGCTCAAGATTCAGCTCACCTTTCTGTTCTACAGTCTACATAAGGACTATGCCCGCAACACCTCGACACCCCAGAAAACACCGAGAGCTTTAAAACCCCCACACCATACCACAGAAGACCAGCACTCCTCATCTTTGAGCTTTGGCTCCGAGTCCGCAAACTTGTTCTTGACGCGGACAATCTTGGTGTTGAACCTCTCCTGCAACTTGAACAGTTTTCTAGCAACTTTGTTCAGAATCCAAATGTATGCATGCATCCAAAGTGGTCAGCAGGCTGGGGTGCGCAAGCTTATGGTCTGTTCGGTTCAGAGGTGCGGTGAGGTCCAGAGGTGCGGAGCTTGAAACCAGGGTTCAACGTTTATGGGCTGCGTGCGGTACAGGAACTACAGAACACAGGTATACGTCTCCTGAAAAGCGTGGAACGCAATGGCGAGCGCAAAGGGGTCCGATGCGTAGATGGTAGCACGCAAGAAGTCACATACATATCCTGAAGTTGTCAAAGGACTGAATCTCACGTGATACAGATCAAGCGACCAAGCGAGTCTCGAAGCATGCATCGTGGTGGGTCCAAAGCTCTTAGGTCTGCAGAAGGCTACAAAAAACAATCGACAGTTCCTGGTGTCCCTGAACGTCGGCTGCTCAAGGGATGGAGGTTAGGGCTTACGTACTATGGCTTGCTGTATTCTTGCGGCGCCGTAAAAAAGGCAGAGACTCGTGCCAAAGGTTGCTCGGTTTTGGTTCCTGTCTCGAAATCTTCCTGATAATCGGTGTTGACCTTCGCCAGGGCCCGCTCCTGCCGTAGCAAGCTTTGGGGTTGGGGTGCAGGTTGTCAGGTGACAATGATCTTCATACTGTGGTCGCGACAGGTCTTGCAATCTAACAAGGCCTCATGCAAACCTATCTATGTCGCCATGCTTGGCGGCTGTGCTGGGCAGTTCAGCAGCGCAGCTAAACCAACCTTCCAAATTTCTTATGGCGGGGACCGGCTTTGGGAGCAACCAGAAGAAGTGAAAACACCAGGAATACCCCGGCTGCACTCCGGCTTCAGAGGGCAGCATCGGGAGCAAGCATGAGCACATGCATTCTGACACGGCAAGTGACAAGTGCCACCTCCATCTACCCGCCAGATGGCACAACACTCGGAAACAGTCAGTCCGCCCCAGTCGGTCGTTGTAACCGTCAGAGCTTATTCGCACATCAGAAGCTGTATGGTGTGCTCGCAGCGACAAGCAATGGCAGCTAAATCCCGACGTCGAAACAGCTTGCCAGCCAGCACACCCTCATGCAGGTCATGCCAACAAGCCATGTGAATAGCACCAGCAGCGGTGGTAGAGTTGCTGTAGAGGCAGGAATTTGCTAGTTGCGGCCTTGAGATCCTAAGGCCTATTGCATTGTCATCACTGTCCAATGCAGAACTCAGAGTTTCGAAACATCTCTGTCAGACAATCTCGGCTCTGATAAACCCTGACCCGTCCTTGCTCTTGACTGAGGCAACCAACAGGCCCAGGTGCTTGCCGTGTTCAACCGCGCCGGCTTCAGGTTGCAATTTATGCGTTGAAGGATCCTCGGGATCTTGCAGCAACTATCAGATCCAAGCAGAAGCCGGAAAACTGTGGTGATCTGTGGTGAGACTGATCTCCAGACGGCACAACCATGGATCTGAGACCCTTCTGACGGCTGGGCTCCAGTTTGAGCTTTTCATCGAATTTGCGCACGTCTTCGAGCTTGATGTCGTTCAAGGCTTTCACCATATCACTCAACTGCCTCGCAATTTCAGAGCGCGACGAACGATCCGAAAAGTCCAAAGAGTGTGTTTCTAGCTGCGGGCCTTACGGATCATTTCTGCCCTTGGCGCACTCATCAGATCCCAGCCTTTGGACGTTAGACTACGTGCGTGACGGCAAGCCCCTGGCTGGATCCATGAAAACCGAGCCCGAGATTAGCCTGCAACACTACAATCACTGCAGCATCAACTTTGAGCAGAACAGTGCTTCTGCCCCAAAAGACTCCACTCTCAATCTCTTGAAATCTTAATCGCCCCAAGATGAAAAAGCAAAGTCCGCTCCGGCCTGATTCCTTAAAGCCGAGACCTCTGCCATTCAGAAACCAAACTTAAACTACTTGAATCTGTACCCACAAGTTGAAATGAATCCAACATTCCAACATTCCAATAAAGAACCGAGAATGTAAGAAGGACGATCTGGACCGCACGCATGCAAGCCCTTGTTGAGTAGCAGGCACGCATTCAAATGCACAGCAAAGTGCGAGGCGGCAAACCCCCTTACTAGAGACATATATTTCATGGCACAACATCCGCAAAGCAGCAGCTCTCCAATCCCACACATTGTCTCCATCCCAAGCACTGGTCGCGAAACCCTGAACAGACTAGCGGCCAACACCTGTCAACCGTCCTCCTGAATTCAAAGCTGAAGCACTACTTTGGGATAGCAGCTCCTGAGTCACACTTGCTGAATGCCGTTCTTAAGAACGGAGCGGGTATGTGCATAGCTCTTGAACTCAAGCACGCCTTCTGAGAGCACCCGAATACAACCATGCATCCCACCTGCTGAAATCCCTGCGTAGCCAGCTTGCTTTCGCGCTCAAAGCATTCACTGCCAAATCCTTGGCGCATGTTGGGACCTCAATAAGAAGACTAATAGAATAAGGGAAGCAAATGCGATACATGCAGCTGTACCAGTTAATTTGTTCGACCATTTTACAAAGACATTATTTCACTATCGGTCATGCGGCTTGCAAGCTCCTCAGCTCAGAGGCTGGCTTGTCTCGGATTGTAGCTGATCTTGCCGGCAACGGACACAGCACATTAGATGTCAACCGCTAATTAAAGCCTAGCAGCTGAACTGCGAGCATAGCTGTCTTCCAGAGGCGGCTGTACTGCCTGACCTCTCTGCTCAGATGGGATAGTCGACAACTTCTGCATGCGCGCGCCACCGTCCTCATCCTTTTGCATTGACACTGTCTGGGGTGTACAGAAGCATGTGACAAACGTTCCAGATACGTTGCGCCAGCAAGGCACTAAAAGGAGTGTGAGCCACCCCTTCCAACAAACTGCCACCCGACACTTTCAGGAGACTAGCGAATTCAAGTCGATTCGGTTCTTCATCCCCTGGTGCAGGGATTCATACACAGCATGCGATTGGCTGCTTTGCTAGGTCCAAATGGCTCTGCCGGCAAGCCCACGAGAAGAATTCAAGGAAATTCGTACCGGCAGCTGGAGCCCAAAGCATGCGCCCAGCGGCAAACATCACAAAGATCGAATGCATTTGTGCCCGCAACGCCCTTCAACCCGAAACCTTAAACGCTGAGTTTCCGCTGTCCTCATAAGCCTTGCGCTGATCCACGAACCAAAGGCCCAAGCGCGATGCCTCTGCTTGAGACAGGCCCTTCATGTCCTTGCAGCGGAGACAGCATGTGGCATAATGGCTTGGCTAGGATTAGGGCGGCCCTTTCAAGGTGAGATGCAGATCGCACAGGCTTTCTGGATGAAAATTAAACGCTCTGCAGAAATCTTTGGAGCAGGCTTTGTCAAAATGAAACTCTGGCACAAAACTCAGGGAAAGAAGATCTGATGAGCACAAGCATCGGGAAAACCTCGCCAGCATATCCCGATGTCAGAGGCACAAGATCAACAAGATTGAAGAGACACGATTTACATGAGGGCCTCCAGTCTTATGCGGCAGAGTGCAAATGGGCGGTAGCAAAGCTGAGAGATCTCGAACACTAACAAAAATCTTGAAATCAAACTCGGAAATCAAGAGGATAACGCCGACCTCCATCCCACTCTTACAATTGCAATGTCAAGTGCTCGCATCGAGACTGCTTCCATCCGCTTCCCTTCTAAGATTGCAGCCCCTCCGCACGCCTGTTGGTGCCTTCCGTTTGGCCTCTGAAGGGTAGGGGCCTGTACGGCCTGCAGCTCTACTTGATGCTCCACTTAGATTGGGGACTAAGGTTTGTGGACGTTTTTGCAGAATCTGGAAGGGTGCTCGAACGGGCCTTGTGATGATTTTGTATGGGCTCGTTGCAGATTTCTCTTCAGTTCGCAGCAGGTGCAGGTCAGAAAAGGATCCTTTCGTTGTCTGGCAGTTTTTCTGAGCAAGACAAGTACTGCGAATGTATGTGTGCTGCTTGCTTTCCATGGACTCCGCAGACTCTACTCTAGTGTGTGCCTTGGCAATGCGCCATGCACGCAACTCTCAACAGCAGCGGGGCGCCGCCAAGGGCTGCTTGGCTGCAACGCATTCTCATCTCGGGCTGATAATGCCCCTGCCGCAGAATCTGGCGGGTAAGCTGTTGTGCGCGTCTTTGGTCAGAATCCGAGCAGTATGGAAGGAATGAGAAGCGCCGCTCTCAGTAATCTTTAGATGACAGCAGACAACTAATGCTGATGCAGAGTTGGAGATTTGCAAAGTCCAGGGTTGGCTTTCGACGGCTTTCTGCAACAACACTGTGGACCGCAAACATTGCGCTAAGTCCCAGGCGTAATGCGAACCCACCGATCAAACCCCTCATGAGCCCTGATCTCTCCTGGAAAATCTTCTTTGTGGCGGCCTGCAGGGGCTGGAAGTATACACCTACACTTGCAGTCATCCTGATACTGGCTACAATGATCATCCCCAGAGCAGCTTCTGACGTAAAAGAATGCCGTATTGAACGTTTACTGAGACAAATTCATAGATTAGTAGTGGGGATATCAAGGTTTATGTCGGAACGAGTACAGAGATTGCTGTAGAGCGGCCTTGTGGATCAGAGACCCTTACAGAGCGGATCCTTATGCTGCGAGTTTACCATATCATGGGAAGATTCTTTGCATATGCTACTGCAGGCATCTGTAACAATACTTTGCAATTGCAAGGCATGGGCTTGGATGCACAATCTAGGCCATCCTGTCGGGAATGTGTATATGTGACCGATCTGAGGACTGCTCCTGCGGAATTGAAAGATTCTTAGCCTGAGGCCTGAAGGCCATTCTCCTTCCCCCCGAACATCTACATCAAGAGTTCGCAGTGGATAGCTGTACGGAAAATGGCCTTGGCATCACCAGGTTGAACCCATCCAAACCTAAAGCTCAGCGAAACTCCATGTTCCCGTCTGCAAATTTTGAGCACTCCGGAGCCTCAGAACCAGTGAGCAGCGCTTCAAAGAGAGCCAGCTGCATCTCGCGCAACTCTCGTCGGAGACTGGGGTTGTCCAAGCGACTCTTCAATGACTCCTGCATTGCATGAGGAGCTGGGGCACCAGGGGTTCTGAAGCCGGCGTTCCAACTGCCAAGCAGTCCGATCAGGCCTCCATCAAAGTTTGCGAAGCGTCTTATGGGGTGAAGGATGAAAGTGTTTCACCCATTGGATTACTTTGAAGGCCCTCATCCCGCGTCATTGACTCGGGTTACAAAAGAGTACAGTAGCAAGAGAGGTTTGCCTGAAGACCACAACCTCAACCTGGCTGGCCTCCTAGAGACAGCCCCGATCTCTTCAAGCTGAGTGGTTCGGGACGGCTCAGCAACTGTGGTCTCGAAGCTCTGCTTACAGCCCTGGTATGGTAAACACTCTGACCGAGCCAAGGTGTCCCAGCCCACTCAAGCTAAGCCCCGCAACCCATGCAACGATGTGGGCATTCTTCAAGATTTGGAACCCCAACTCTGCAAACAGCGCGTTCAACAGCTGTGCACCCAATCAAGCCAGCCATCCCGGCACAGGCTGAAACCCCTCTCGCCTTCCCTCACACCTTACATAGTATCATGGAGATTGAAAGAGAGTGAACGAGTACGGATTAGGATTGAGCACTGTACATGTCTCTGGCAAAGATGACATGGCGACTGCGGACAGTCGCAGCTGCCGCTACATCCAGTAAACCTGTTAACTCTAAGGACCAGGGCCAGTCCTTCTTGGCCAGCAGCTTTTGAGTCCGTAAGCTGTCTCCCAAGGCCATCAAACTGTCCCCTCAGTTGCGCTCTCAGCCTCACAACATCCATGTCACCTTTAACATGCCTAGTCCCTGTAAGCGCATATCATCTTGTAGGAGTTTGACAAATGTTTAACCTGGGGGCGGCTTGCTGCATGATCTCGAGAACATACCCTCCGTTATGTCAATGGCAACGTAGGCTTGGAAGCCTAGTACAAGTAGAGAGCTGCTTTGCTAGCATTTGCGGAATGCTAGGGTTGACTGTGTCCTGCGTGCATGGCAGTGGAACTCTTGAATGTGGCACCGACGCACCCATCGGGGCTTTGAAGGAAGCAGTCGAGAGAAGAAGTACTGCGATAGTCTGCGACCATCACAACCAAGTTTAGGATGGTTTTTGAACAACTGACTGATTCCAACTTGCATGTACAAAACACTGCTTGATGCATGGCTGTACAGCACACTGTTTGATGCCAACTGCTGCTCCAAAATTTCAAGTTCAATGGATGTTTCAGGCTGGCCCCCGTCATGCACCAGAACTTCTTCCAAACTCAAATATGAAGGGAGTGGTCATGATTGGAATGGACCTTGTGACTGCAACACCTGCTTGCCAGGATGTACTCTGTTTCACCACCAGCCTAAGCCCTGAATCCTGCATCTACACCAACTGCAGCTGCCAGACGGTTGCGGAACACGTCAAAGAACAAGTACAGGACGCCGCCGGAGGACCAAAGGAAGATGACCGCCAGCAGACGAATCCTTGGCTTCAAGATGCGGTTTGCGGCCTTCTGGTACAGGGATGTATCGAGAGTCGTATCCGGCCTGTCACTCATGCTGTCAACACACAAGCTGCAAAAACCGTGTCCGCTTGTAGAATCACAATCTGTTCTTCACATCAACCAAGTTGCATTTTTCCTGAGGGCTGATGAAGGACTCTGGAGCTCCTCTAGCTTTCAGGTTTTGTTGATGAACCGCGGAGTTGAGAACGACCAGCAAACGAATTGAGCAGAACATTGCGAATGGCCAGAGCCCACAGCCAATTGCCCAAAGGCAGAGCTGCCACGAGGTCTTGGCCTTTATATACAGTCGCTTGAGCAACTGCACGGCGGAGATGGTGGACAGAACGCAACCGGCTAAGCACCATGTTGTCAATGTGCGGTAATTGATGCGCATCACGCCGGTGAGGTGCTTCACTGTGGGGCACTGGCCAGGACAAAGCTTGTCTGCGCATCATTGAAATATACCAGGCCACCGATGCTGCCAGTGGAATCTGCAGAGACAAGCCCCACAGCCTTGGTGCGGCGAAAACGCTGCGAGCTGATAGACTCAACTTCTAAAAGCCATGGATGCAGTGATATACTCTTGCAGTTTGCATGTCCAGGAGCGTGGATACATTGTGACGACCCCACCACTACCGCTGCCGCCGCCACCGACGTCACCGCCCCCACCACCATCATCACCCCCACCACCCCACCACCCCACCACCGCACCACCCCCCCACCCACACCCCCACCACCACCCCCATCACCACCCCCACCACCACCACCACCACCACCACCACCACCATCGGCACACGGCAAAGAGAAAGAAAGAGACGGAGCCAGCGAGAGAAAGACAGAGGGACAAACGAGAAAAGGATTAAGCCCTGTGGCTTCCATTCGCCAAACTTCGGTCCTTTAGCCTATTTTTTTTAATCGCCTTGGGTACGGTCGTCCCTTTGGCGACGCCAGCTATTTCTAGTAGCACCTAAAACTGAGGACCACCACGTCCTGTCTGCCGCCACCTCTAACAATTTGCTTTTGATGTCTCTTTCGCACCCTCGCCCTTGGAAGAAATGGTCGTAAAAAATGGTCAGCGCCAAGGCAAGCATTTGTTCTGTCCATTTACTGCGGCGTTTCCCGGGCCTGTAGGGCCCACCCGATGTTCGCGGTTGCAAAAATCGATCGAACGAAACGATTCTAGCTGGGTGATCCTGAGGCCTCCTGAGAATATGCCCCAGCAATTTAAGCTGGTGCAACCGCACCTCGTCACCCAGCAAAGTCTCCTGCAGCGTTTCCCTCACTTGTTCGTTAGTCGTCCTTGCTACTCCCATCTGCATGGCACCCCAGGTCGGAATGTTAGCAATAGAACGCAAACAACGATAATGAAGAGAGTCAACCTGTCTCGTTTGGGTCTCTGTGAGCCACAGCGTTGAAAGGTTGTAAATGAGCTTGGATACCACGCACGCCCTGTAGATCTGCAGCTTTTTTAATTTAGACAAACCTGCGTGCCTCCACACCCGCTTAAGCTTGTGGAAAACAGCTCTAGCTTCTCCAATGCGGCGCCGAACCTCGGGTCCTGGCCTACAGTTTTTGTCGATCAACCCTCCCAGGTAAACAATGAAAGAAACCTGCGGAACCGGGTCACCATTACTGAAAACCACTGAGGCATCCGAGTTGTACAAGATCAGCTTTGTTTTGTCCAAGTTCAAATGTAAATTGTATTTTGCGGCCTCCTGCTGCACCAGTAACAACAAATCTTGCATTTGTTCCCTCGTTCTTGTTATCAACACGGTATCGTCTGCAAACTCGACGTCGAAGAAAGGAAGATGGGGTGTCGTAGCCAACGGGTGCTATGTTTGTACTGAAGCTGCACATCATGGAACAACACTGTCTGCAAGAGAATGAATAGTAAAGGGCTGAGGGTACAACCCTGTCTTACGCCGCTTTGCTGCTGCCTGCACTCTGACATATGCTCTCCCACGATAACCTCGAACACGGGGTTACTAACAAGCTCGCGGATGACTTCACAGGTGTGTGCTGGGACCCCTAATCGTGTAAGGGCATGAAACAACGCTGAAGGTCTAATGCGGTCAAATGCCTTACTCCAGTCCAGAAACATAAGATACAACACTTGGTGTTGCTTTGCATCTACTAGGTCCTGGAGGCGTCGCACTAGATATATCGCTTCCGACGTGCTTCGTCCACGGCGGAACCCATACTGTAGCTCGCGAATGTGGTCATCCAAGCCCTCCGACAGCCTGTTGGCAATGATTCTAGCGTACAGTTTGTGACAGGTCTGGAGCAAACTGATAGGCCTATAGTTGGATGGGTCATCCGCATCACCTTGCTTAAATATTGCCATCACCTGTGCTATGTTCCACTGCGCAGGGCTACTCTGGGTGTCAAAACACTGGCGGAAAAGTGCAAGCTGTGCTTCCAAGCCTTTACACGTTAGCGCCTTGAAGAACTCACTTGGGATCTGGTCCTTGCCCCCTTTTTTTCCAGATTTTGTTTGTTTGATGGCTGTCCGTACCTCTTCCATAGAAATGGTCGCTTCAGAAATGGTCGGTGGTGTATTTAGCACCGGCGCAGCAGACAAGCCCTCTGGCTCGCCTGCCTCTTTCCATTGCTTTTCTGCCAGGTGAGCTGCATAAATGTCTGCATTTGTAGATCTACCCGGCACCCCGTCACCGGAAGCTTTCAAAGTAAGGACCTGTTGACGGAAAGGTTTTCTGAGATTAGTGATGGCGCTCCCGTCTCCTGTTTCGAGCTGCTCATCCAACCAGATACGTTTATCGCGTTTAGCAGCCCTTCTGATTTCCCGATTTAGCTCAGCAACCTGTTCCAAGTCTCCCTGCATCCTTAGTTGGCCCCTCCTCTCAAGCAGCTGTAGCGTGGCTTCGGAAATCCACGGTCTAGATGGTTTTGCTACGCGCTGGGGAATGCGCCGATCGATAGCCATAAGATAGATTTTACTGAGATCCTCCCATATGTGTGTGGAGCTTCCTTCCATACTCAAGGTGTTGTCAACTTGCTGTTCTATTGCCTTGTTCATGTTCTCAACGTTGTCTAGTGTTGCTTGCCTGAAATCCCATTTAATGTACCTAGCCGGTTTGGGTTGGGCGCCTAGCTTGACCCGTAAGCAAATAACCAGCGGGAAATGGTCGGAATCCAGGTTTGCACGCGGTTGGCTGAAAACTGTGATGCAAGAGTTTCGCCAGCGCATAAGGGCTAAGCAGAAATCAATCTGGGCAAACTCCTGCGGGTCCCAGTCTTGGTTGGCGTAAGGCAATTGTTTTGTTCCTGGCTCTTTGTAGGTTACTTGCTTGCCAGGCGGGCGCTTAAACCATGTGTTTGCTATGAGCAACTCATTACTTCGGCAAGAATCTACGAGCAGCTGTCGATTGTCAGTGTCTTCCCCTACGAAACTCCAACCCTTGCCATACAAAAACGGCCCAATCACATCCCCTTCGCCCATCCGCCTGCCATGGAGTCGGGCATTAAAATCACCAACTATCACAAACAGCCCTTTTGCCTGAACTTTGTCAACTGTATGCTGCAGCTCGTCAAAAAAGTCCTGCCTTTCCTCCTCCGGCCTCGAATTATGCGGGGCATGCGCGTTCACTATGCTGAGCTCACCTGCTTGCAGGAGCAAGGTAATACATGCAAGCCTGCTGTGCACATAGTGCGTGCGCAAGAGGGCGCCTCTAGCCTGGGGGCACAACACAAAACCTACGCCTGCATACTCTTGGCTTTGGCTTGCCGCTGTGCTGATGGTCATGAAGGTGTAGTTGTCAACTATGTACTGGGTCGTCGATTTGCTTTTGGTTTCTTGCAAACAGACAATGTGAACCTGATTGGTTCGCATGTAGTCAGGGTTGGTTTCAGGAGGGAGCGTGCATTAAGTGAAACAATTTTGATCATGCTGCCATAGGGCATTTTGTACAAAGATAAATCTGCTTTGCGACGGTTACGGTGTTCCTCGTATAGGCGCGTGTGGCTGCGGTTACGCACGTCTTTCAAAAGCTGAGGGCCTTGAGTGGTCTTCACGGTAGTGAGAGCAGCTGCCCAAACTGCCCCCGAGCATATCTTCAGCTAAACCCCTCATGTTGAAACAACACCATCTATATTGTCTCCGATGTAATCTGCGTTTCGTCTGTCTATTGCATTTACGTTGTAAAAGGGCTGCCTCAGATCTCAAGCCTCGTTTGCTAGACCGGTATTCTCCCTGTATCCGCAGGGGTTGGTGCGTTAGAGCTTTCATGTCATGCTTGTCAAGCGTTAAGAAATGGTCGTCAGAAATGGTCGGTAACAATGAACCCCGCGGTGGGCCCGGCTCGCCAACTGGGCGGCGAGAGTCACATCTACCCCTAATAGAAATGGTCGTTAGGCTTTGCGGCGATAACTGTTGCTGATAGTGGTGGTCTGCTACTTCCTACTGGCGCGTGTTGGCGCCCCTACCTTCCCCCTTCGGCCTAGGAGGCCTCACTGCTGGTCGGAAACCGCCATTCATGTCATCGTCTGCCTCCGATTTGGGCTGCGTGTGGCGAGAGCTGTGTGAAGCCTGGCGCTTTTGCTCCTGGAGAGCGTTGTACTTCTCATTTAGCTCTGCTGTCACTGCACTGGTGATGGCCTCAACTTGTATTCGGAAGAAATCCTGTGGTCGATACCCATCAGCACTGCGGACTGCGCCCCGTTGTCCTCCCCATGTGGCCCATTCCTCAGCGAATTTGTTGCTGAACTCTTCCTTGAAGGGCTCGGCGACGTACATAGTGAGACGGGCTTTGTCATTCTCATGAGATTGCATGTGTAGAATTCCACTCCCCTTCATGCCAGACTGCACTGATTTCCCAAGCTGGTTTGTAACGCTGCTGTTTGCCAACAATCTGGGAATACACAAAAATGGCGCACCTAAGAGGTTGGTCTGCCTCTCGCTGGTACTTCGGGATCTGTGCACGTGCGACTGCTATCTGACCGTGGCAGGTGAGCGACATCTTT